CATCTAGGCGAAATGTGTTTGACCGTGTCCTGATTTGTAAATGCTTCAGGGTTGAAGGTTTTCACAGTAGATCGTTTACTTGGAGGCCCAGAAGTCAAGGGGGTGGGCGAGTGACATGTGTCATGTACAGGAGCCCGGCCAGCAGAAGCAGCAAAGCTGCAATGCACTGGTGGAGGCGGCTGTGGCACCTCGACAGAATCCGTTTCGGCAGGTCCCCAGTCGTTATCGTTCCACGGCCGGCTGTTCTCGGCACCAAAAGACTTCAGAAGATGAGACTCATGCCGACTCCAAAAAGGTCGTGATTGCACCCGGGCGGTTCGTGACACTGTAGTTCGGCCTTCGTGGGTTCTGTGCGTTTCCAAGTGGCGTCTCTCATAGATCCTGCGGCAACAAGGATTGAGCTGGCCTGGCTTGGAATTATTCATAGTCCTGTCGACATAATAACTCCGCACTTGACCGTGCTGCACGACTTGAGAGAGCTCAAGCTGTCATGGCTGCAAGGAGTGCCTGTAGCCTGTTGCAACGAGCAATGTCGTTTCCTCTTTTGCTGGCCCTCCTGCCGTCTGCACTGGCCTCCTTCCCTGTCCCACCCCAGCAGACCAAAGAGCAGCTCAGCGCCTCGATGCATGAGAGCAGCCCACCTGCCTGACGATAAAGGGGATCATAAGCAGGGGCTTAAACTCAGCCTAGGCTGCCAGGTGCATAGTGCAGCTTGCGATCGGACAGGCCTCTTCCAGAAGACATCGGCAGCAGCCAAAGAAGCCAGCGACGCAGCCACACCCAAGGCCTCGGTACTTGAAGCAAGTTCGCTAAGGGCCTCTTCTGCTTCCCTCCAGACCGGAGATTTTTTCTGCAGGAGCTGAGTCGGTCAGCAGACAGACAGGGACTCGAGGGACTTCAAACGTGCACATGTGGTCTCATGTAGTCTTGTCTTGTCTGTCCCCAGCCCAGCGCCTTCTTTCTGGGGAGTCACTTCATGGCTTTGGAGAAAAGCTTCAGTATGGCATCTCGCAGCTCGTATGACGCGAGCATCGTCCAATGTTGGTCTGGTATCGCTCCTTCTACTAGTAGCCCGATGGACCCATCTGGCAGAGGTGTTGGAGTTCTTCGATTCCACCGAGTTTCGGCGGGTGCTGCAGGGCTGCTGTCCCGATGTCGCAGGGCTGAAGTCCACGGAGCTCTTGAGAAGGTGCCCGGCCGGAGCTTTGGTGAGCCGCTGCCCTTTCTTTTTAGCAAGTCTTTACGGGTTGCGATTGCTCTTACACTGCACGCATCTGCATGCAGTACCTTGATACTTGATGGTTGGGATGGCTGTGTCGACATCAGCAAAAGCTAGGCTCTTTACACCATACGCCTGTGGACAAGATGTGCTTTTGGAGAGCGAGCTAGACGGACTTGCTGCACGTGCCACCCATGGAGTTCTGCATGTGCCTGTTCTTGGAGCACAAAAACCTTCTGCACACTTTGGCAGGTACCGAGCAGAAGCTCAAATCGCGGAACTTTCCCATGCGGCTCGGCTTGTAGTTGGGTCAGGATAGCAGCAGCCGGAGTGGGCCCCTCTGGAAAGTCACGTGATGTGTTAACCAGAAAACCGGCGCGGCTCTCGCACGCGTGGCCCGAAAATAGGATGGACTTTGGACCCCTCACCAGGCCTCGTCCACCAGGAAGTAAGCGGCCAAACGAGAGAGGGCACACACTTGTCTGCCCACAGCAGGTGGTGGTTCTTGAAATGGTTTCCATGTCCGAGCCGCCCTGTAACTACTTGCTCTTGACAGACACATTCTAAGTCTTGCCTGCAACATGCATTCATGCGTGTATCTATGTCTGTATCGAGCTTTTTCATATAAGGCTCATCAGCTTGTGTCTGTTGCTTCTTCTGTGCCGGGCCCTGCAGCAGCAGCTGAAGCAACGATCGCTTCACTCCGACGAGCATTGTCTTGAGTGCGTTCGCAATGCTATAGTCACTGTAGTCGCTGTCTGCAAGCAAAGTCAAAATCGCAGTTGTGTGTAGTGAGTGTAGTGCCATGTTGAGAGCAGATTCTCAACCAGCTGCATCCTCGATCTCTCGAGAAGGGCGCTTCGGAGTCAGAGTTCGATATGATCCACACAGACTCAGAATCAGAGACCCCAATGTCCGACATCGGGGTGTGCCGAGGCGCTTCCTGCCGAGCCACAAAAGAAGCAAAAAAAGGAGGTCTTCGACGACGTGACGGAGTGTTGGGCTGACGCATGAGTGTTCAGATTGAGAGCCCGGCACCAACACAATTGTCTTCCCAGCACGTACTCGTGTTACATCTGCTTGCTGCGTCCTTGTGCTGCTTTGAACTGGGGTTTCGAAGTCTTTGGTGCCGCAGTGTCGCCAAAGAGCTGGGCCGCTCCCCAGGAGAAAGAAGTGGGCCATCTATCTTGGTTTCCGAACGAGTTTCAGAGTGCGTTGATGCACAACGTGCGCCTCGCACCAAAGGGCAGAGGGGCATGCAGAGCAATTTGTCATCAGGGCACCAGGGTCTTGGTCTTTGTGTGTCAGTGTAGTAGGTAAGAAGTCAAAGACCCGCTGGCACTGCAAGGTGGCCAAGACGGTGACAGTAACACAGAGAGAAAGTAGGGCTGCGCCGTAGGCTAGAGCTGAACTTGGGACGAGTGTTGCAGCTGTGGAAGGACGGCTTTGTCTGCGCCCATCAACAACTACGCGCAGCAGCACATCTTCGGATCGGTTCCTTTCGCAGGCATGCCTCCCACGTGGCAGGAAGCCGAAAATCGGCTTATCTACATCGCGCACCATGGCAAAAGCCGCAAGAAGCGAGGGCGGTTGAGACTGTGTGGTCGCAGCATGTGCAGATGTTGGACGGAGATCATTTGCGAGCACCGGATGTACCAAAGTGTTCCGAGAGTCGAGGGAAAGTTCGAAAGCAGATAGCGACCAGAACAAGGAGCGCTGGGGATGAGAGGCTGCCAAGAAGGAGAGTGGGAGGAATCGAGGTTGGAGGCGATCCTGGGTTTTAGCCTCGAAGTTGGGATTGGGGTTGACCGGTCCTGAGCCAAAAGCTCTTAAAGTTGCCCGAAAACAAGAAGCACCTCATCACGACGGCTGCTGCCGCGGGATTGGACCTGCAGGAAGGCACTTGGGCATGTTGCGTTCGCAGCACGGCGGGATTCCCCGCATGAAATCCGACGAACACTTTTCAAGCCGATGCTTAGAACAGCAGTTCCAAGCTTGTGCCATCCTGTGCACTTCTCTTGCACGCGCGCTCGAATCGCTGTGCCTCCTCTTGAGCCCGGTCTTTTAATGGGAAGCCTCATCCTCCCACATGCGCCTGTCCAAGGCACAACATGCGGCGTTTAGACACAGGGTCTTTGCCGAATTTCGGGGATGTGACAGTCGTCTTCAACACCAGCCGCGTCAGAAACTCGGTGGTCATCGCGCCGTATGAGGCTTGGACGCTTTGGTAGTGGAGCTTTTTTTGCTTGAGTCGTATCATTGGCATTGGTTGCCACCGAACCGGCTTCAGCAGTAACCCACGCCGTTGCTGTCGTCCAAATAAGGATACCGGGCTGTTCACGATGAACTGCTTGTTTCCCCACCTCCTTATCCAGAAGGCGAAGAAACCTCTGAATTGCACCGCTTGGCCTTCACCGGCCGTGGGCACCTCCGTCGCAAGAGTCTCGTGGCAGATTCGGGAGGGGTTCGCGTGCTGATTACCTGATTCAGCTGAGTTTGGAGGTACTCTCGATCACCTTGACCACCTCATCATTCCCAACCTGCAGGCCATCAGCCCTTGGGTCATGGTTTAAGTGGCATGCCAGCGTCAGCATGTGGAATTTAGAACCTAAATGTGACTTGACGTGACCCCTCATTAGGCTTGCAACTCCTCCGAAATCCCTAAGAGACATGGGGACGCGCTGTGGCACGGCGTTCGCCCTGGTCAGATTCCCTACAACCGCAGCGGCACCAACCAGACATGGAAGGATGGAGTCCGAACCCTGTGGTCCCGGGCCTTCACGGAGACACCATACGAGGCACTGCTTTCAGATGCTGCTGACGGAGGTGGTTGAGGGCCGTAGTATCCGGGAGCAGATGCGGTAGCATGAATAAGCGTACTGCAGCCGCAGTAGCAGCAGAAAAAGGCGTCGTCGTAGCTGTAAGTCGTCGTTGCCGTTGTCCGGGCAGATGCCGTTCTGATCAAGAAGATCAGAGGTATCATAAGGCGGAGAATCAGCCAAGCCTCGCCTCAGCTGCCAGGATCTGCCGCCACTGACGTTAAATGATATGGGAAATTATTTGGAGGCGGATGTCTTAGCCAACCCGCGCTTGCCGGATGCACCTCTTCTGCAAAACACGAAACCCATCGCTTCTGAGCCTTGTCATTTCGGAGGCATGCGCACGGTCTCTGACCGGCACGAAGCCGAAGAGCAGAACTCGTCTCCACAGTAATTTTGCCCTTGCTTGCGCTTGGCTTGACCCTCCCCAGGCCGTAAAGTATGTCATCGGCAACTTTCCGATCCTCTTCGGCACGGATGATGGCCGAAAGTTGCAGCAAATTGCTGCAAACAGATCCTGGCCCCTCTTTTGGGGGGTCGGGAACGGAGAGCCAGTCAAAAAGGACAAAAACTTCACCGACCCGAGCAAGTACCCAGGCATCCTGTCACCAGCTGGAGGGATGTGGAGCCCCGCTCTCGGCATGTCTGACTGATAACATCACCCGGCGAGGCAACCAACGCCTTGCAGATCCGAGCATCGCCGCTTGTCTGGTAGAGCCAAAGCTGTCACGTATCACGAGCTTTGCACATCGTTCGGCTTTAAAGCAGGGCATGATTTTCATCTCGAGGTGGCCCTCACCAATGCGACTCTCCCGTGGGGTGCCAAGCGCGCTTTCGACAAAGTCTGGGAAGAAGCAACGCTGGAGCACCTTCGGCTACACTCTCAAGTTCCGTGATTTTGGCTTTTTTTTCACCTTTTTCCAGGGAGCAGAGCTGAAGAAAAGCCTGCTGCCAAAGCCACATAGCATCAAGAGACCGTCTTTCTGCATTAGTGTCACTTACTCAGAGGTCCGTGTAGGTTTTGCACCGGAGGCGTTCAAAGCGCAACGTCACCAAAGAAGATGTGAAGAGGCGAAGCGGGCATCGATTTGGCATGTAGATTTCCCTGCGATCTTTTACCACGCTGAAGAGTTGATAGAGTTTGCTGGGTCAGGTGTCCCTTTAGTCTGTCACTCAATGCAGCCCCTTCCAGCGAGCTTGAAATACATGCAATGCGCAGGCAGGCCGACTAAAGGAACCTAGTGACCCAGCGTGTCTCCTCACTCTCCTAGGTCAAAGAGTCATGAGCTGAGATGGATAGTTGAAGCGCTTTGAAGGCTTTTGAATCTGCTGAGAGGTGGTGGACTAACCTGTCCTCGTCCGAGCTGCGTGTGGCACCTCTCTCCGCGTCCTCCTGCGCGATTGCCGATCGATGTGCTGCTGGGCAATGGAAAAGAGTTCTGGGCCTCTTTTTGAAGGTGCAGTTTCGAGTTCCAGGAAGAAATAAAGGTAGGAGCAGGGATGCGAGACAAGCGGTCTAGGTTTGGGCATGTTGGGGCTCTCAAAGTGGATGGCCGGTACTGCTACTACTACGACCTCGCCTACTACTACGACGACGACTACTACTACTGCTACTAAAACGGCTCAAGCCATTTTGGCTCAAGTCTCGGCCCAAGTGAGAAAGAACAGCCTCTCTGAACCCCCTGACCGCGAAACCCTGGTGTCCTCTCCTCTGCTTCACATCGACCCTGCCTAGCTTCTTTCAGAACTTGATGTCCCGACTTCTCTTTGGCACTGACTGTTCCTTGCTCACTTGCACAATGCTCTGCCTTGAACTGTTTCTGTACTGACTGGGTGTTCGCGCTCAATCTTCGTGGTGGGTTTCGTTGCGCCACACCTCGCAGTCGGCTTCTTCGTTGTAGCGTGCTGACAACATGCTTATTTAGTGTCTTGGTTCGTATGCCTCTGTTGTGATTTGTTGTTCTGCTGTGTTCTCGTCGCTGTCCTGTCCGGGCCGTCCTTTGATTTGCCGGCTTCGTGCCCTTGTTTCAATCCCACGCCTCATCTAACCCGTAGTCGTTTGCATGGCATCAGTACTAGTACATTGCTAGTACTGAGTACTGGGTAGTAATGAGTATGACTAGTAACTAAGTACTAGTACTAGAGTTAGCATTCGTACCAGTACTAGGACTAGTACGAGTAGTAGTGGTGTGGTAGTAGCAGTAGCAGTAGTGTATACTATTGCAACGGTCACTGCGACCATGAGTATTGATAAGAGAAGTATAGAGATGATAAGACAAAAGAGATACAGCTCTTTCTTGCGACTGTTGAGTAGTTGTCCCCGGGCTTCGAGGTGGCTGTTGCCGCCGGCGATTGTGTTTGCATCTTGGAGACGCAACTCCTGACTGTTTGAGGCTGGCGGCCCTTTTTTTGTTCATGGCTCGTTGTTGTTTGTCACATGAGCTCATACAATGTTTGTTACAAAACCCGCTTTGTCTGCTTTCTGTGTGTCGCAGGATTCGATAAATGTGAATCCGGGGAAGCCTTGAAACTCAACCACTCGCAGATGGGCGCAGAAGTCCGAGCAGAAGAGTATCCAGTATCCAGCTATGCCAGATGCCTTTGCGAGTGAGAGGACGCAAGGCCGAGCAGATGCCATCTTCTTGCTGCATGCACGGTTCTCTCACTTGGCATTCGATTCGGTAGATGTTGTTCAGCTTCTGCATGCTTTTGCATCACGGATGTCTTTGCGCAGGTGGCCATGCACAGCGTGCGGCAGACGGCTCTTTGGAGTTCATACTTGGTGTAACTCTGACTTTGCGTTTTTGTCGCACATACAGACGCACGCTGGCCTGGATCAGTCCGAAACACGAGCGAGCGCCAGAGGTTTGGAAGATGTAAGGTTAAGAACTGCACCGGCGGTCGATCCATGCTGACGGTGCTGCCTGCGAGAATTTTGGTTCAAGCGAGGAGGGTGGTGTATCGTGTTGAAATGGGTATCATGGCCTTGCGACTCTCGCTTATAGGGCTACTGGCAGCCTTTGTGCACGCCACTTGTCAGCAACCACTCTCATCGAGTTTGACGTTTGTCATTGTATAGCTGGCGTGGTCTGTCCGCTGGGGTTCAAGCACGAATCGATTGCGGCCAGCAGTCAGGTTTTAACGGAAGCATGGCTTCTGCTCGCAATATCTTGTAGTACCAAGGCTGCCGACTACAACATCATTAACCTTGACAACAACACGCTGAAGATGGTGACTGGAAAGGATATTCCTGTGTTTGTGCGCTTTGACAAAGACTATCCGTACGGCGAAAAGGCCAGCTCAGGAGACTTCGGCCCTAAACCCTAAACTTGAGCCCGGCCTTTGGTTTAGGGCCAAGGCTTCCGGAGCCTGGAAGTGAGTGGGAAATCTGGGCCCTAGACCATACTCATCGACCCCGGCCTCTGCCCCGCTAACCCTCTTGAGCCCGTAAAGGCCCTTGACCTCAAACGGCTAAGCCATTGCAGGTGGAGCAGCCTTGTTACTAATGAATTTGATGTAGCTTGCTCGATGCTTTGCCGTTGTAGTTTCAGCTGCCCTTGCATGCTCCTGTGTCCGCTCATCTGGCTGTGCCGAGCTGGGACAGCGTTAATCCTGCGATGCTTCTTAGCCTGGTTTTCGTTTTTCCTTGTAGTTGGTTGGTGTCGAGGTTGTCGAGAGAGGTCGAGGAAGCTTCACCGAGCGACCTCGTCTGGAGTTGTGAGAGCGTAAATCCCGGCGGTGCGAGTGCCCAGCCCCTAGCCGCTAGAGCCTAGACCTGTAGCTGTAGCTAGTGCTATGAGACGTTTCGTTTGGATCCGCGTCGAAACCCTGATCGCTAATGCAATCGAGAGCGAGAGACAAAAAAAACCAGAGCCCCACACCCGAAACCCTGAAAGTGTCAGCGAAGCGGGTGGGACAAAGCCTTGAACGTCCCAGTGTGTGTGTGTGTCAAAAAGGCACTATCCGAACCCCGAATCCTACAACTATAAATAGACTATAAACCCTACGAAAGCCCTAAACCCGAAACCCTAAAACCTCAACCTCGCCTGCATTGCCCGAGTCGCGAGAGTCCAAAACCTCAACCCTGAACCCTAAACCCTGAACCCTGAACTCTAAACCCGACACCCGAATGATTGAACTGGCCTGAACCCTGTCAGCTCTGAACCCTAAACCCGACCTAAACCCGAATCCATAAGCCCTGAACCCTAGACCCGACACCCCGAACCCGAACCCCTGAACCCTAAACCCGACACCCGAATCCCTGAACCCTTTTTTCTGAACCCCCAACCCGACACCCGAATCCCCGAACCCTTACACCCTGGCCATTTTGGGCTCAATTTCAGCGGGGGAGAGCGTGGCAAGTTTCGACATCCACCGTCATCATGGCACGCGGGGCTGGAAGATCTTCTGGACCTCCAGGGCCGGCGCCATCTGAGCAGAGGATACGACACCACCCGGGACACCTCGTGCATGGGCGGTCTGCGGGACTCAACACCCTGCTTAGAACACCTGCCCCAACAAGACCTGGAACTGAGAGTAGGGCCGGCCGCACGGTCCCTCTGGACAGCAGAGACACAGTTCTCGAGACTCCCGACAACAAGCGCATGAAAGCAACAAGCCGCAGGCCCGACCTAGCCGGCGGGTCAGCATATTTCGTTATTCCAGCCTCACTGGTCGCACGGCGGAAGGCCATCCACAGGATGGGTCAGCCTTGCTCGACCCGGCACAACGCGGCGCTCCGTCATACGTCGTTCTACTTGGCCTGGTCAGTCAGTTCTCACTCACTGACGGGGACCCACTCATGCTCTTGTTGGCATCGGTTTCAATCATGTGTTCGGTGCTCCCAATCCAACGCTGCACTCTTGTGCCAGACCCAGAACTGAAAGGACCAGTGTCTGTGCGACTTTTCTCGGCCTGAGGACCGGCAACGACATACATATACCGGGGGTTGCAATGGCGTTGGTTGCGACCCTGGCATGCATGATCTGCTTGACACATGGGAAAGCGAACCTGGGCCGTCTGAGCGAGGTTATGACTCTTGTCCGTGAGGAATTGGAAATCTCATTAAATCTCATTCAACACGCCGGCGTTGTCTATGGATTTCACTCGCTGCATGGCAATAATTGCAAAATACGGACAATTGGTGCCATTGCTCGAGTTCGCACACCAGCGTGACATGGAGATTCATCGAGCAGCAGAGCTTCAGCTACGACAACTGGGGCATCCCTGCACCTGGAATCATCTGGAATCTTCAGGGAGACCAGTGCGATGAACATGGTTCCTCCCCCTCTAGTCATAGATGTGAATAGTGTACTCAGAAGACTCATTGGGGATCTGCGGTGCGCTTGTGGAAGACCGCCACGATCATTGCCTTGAAGGGCTTCCTAACATCAGGCGTGCCGCTGAAGAGCTACTCTCATGCGGGCTGGTCGCACTCTCCGAAACCACCCTTTATGTAATGTTGGCTCTGCTAGCGAGCGTGCGGAGCCCTCAAGGACAACCTGCGCAACACCACTACGTCGAGTTGCGAGGTCAGGTCAAGGAGTACCAGCAGGCCACCCTGGAGGAAATCATCAAGTCTATTGCCACTTCGCCTGGCCCGAATGGTTCGATGAGTTCACGGTGAAGCATTACGATTACAAACGGGTGTTGAAAAAAATTACATCGCTGTCGCCTACGCCTCCAATCTCGACGGCTTCCCTGAATGTACTTCATTCTCGAAGCACAAGACCGTCTCTGAGGTGGAGGTTGATGACAACATACTTGCAAGCTTGCAAGCCGGCGCGAAATTTCCACTTAAGACCAAAGTAGCGGAAAAACACGGGGGCACACGGAGGGAAAGTTTGACCAGTCGTACGAGGACTACTTGGCCGAGAACGAGCCAGAGGAGAAACAGAAGGGCAAGAAGAAGTGTTGCCGAAGGGCATGATCGGGAATTTCAAGCAGTGATTCTGGCAAAGCGCCGCTGGCTGATTTCCATGCAGCATCTAACCAATCAAACTGTAGATGCGCCTAGCTTCATGTTCATTTCTCACATGCAAATCCTTGTGCCTAACACGCCCAGTCAATTGGCTTACTTGCGTGGACTTTCTTGAGACGATTGACAGCAGAGCATCGCCAAGTGGCAGCGTAACCCATTTTACAAACATACTGGGGACACCTTGCTCGTATTTGCATTCGGTATGTTACACAGGCGACGCATATAACAGATATGGGCGAACTGCATGTGTTGCAGCAAATTCCGGACGACGCGGCTTTGGCGGCGCGTCGAGTGGACGCACTCATTGTGGGCGTCATCACCATCGGCCCGGGCACTCAGTTAGTCTCAGGCTGCAGGGGGCTTTGCTGGCAGGGCTCTGTTGCCGAATCTGCTTGCGCGCATGGTTCCTCGTAATGGATGGCTTTCTGGAGAGCGGCACGAGCTAGTTACGAGGAAGTCGCCAAGACCTATAAAATCGAGTGTTGATGCCGAATATGCCGACACAGTGGCCCTGAGACTCAGCTGAAGCAAACGTTCTGGGACTTGGTGGCCGTGTCCGCTGGATCAGTGTATGATCCCTCCTAAGCTGCTGTTCATGCGGGTCAGCTGTATCAATGGGCTCAACGAGATTTGGACGAATGCACACCTGGATGTCTTCATGACTGCAAGATCTGGGCCATACACAGTAAGCTGCATGCCTGTCAAAATAAGAGAGAGAATTCATTCATGTGCGCTCGCAAGACAATACAGTGGCCCTGGTGCATGTATGCACGTTCACAGAGGGGCAGAGATTGCATGAATTTGTCTGCATGGCACCTGCATGCATGAATATGTGCCTGGGAGCGGATTCTACATGCGTTGCTCAGTGCAGCAGGGCAGATCTGCATGAATTTACACGTGCATGGGAGCTGCATGCATTTATATATGCCTGGTCATGAACCCTGCATGACTGGTGTGGAATTCTGGGCTGGGCTCTACATCCTGGGGCGCCCAAGCTGCATGAATTGGAATGCTGTTGAATTGAATGGCATGTTTGGTATGCGGTCTGGCTACTACGATGCTGGAGAACTGAATTCACGACGACCAATGATGAAGGGAGACGACTTGAATCTTTGGAAGCGTAGGTGGTCACTACTTGTGTATTGGCATACTGATTCGGTTGTTTGTCTCGGAGCTGCCTGCCTAAGCCCTTGGCTTTCGCGTCTACGTGAGATCACGAGGAGCGTGAAGCAATGCCTTCATGAGTCAGTCACCCGTGGTCTGATGTCTGGGATTTTACCGTGGTCACGGCTTGTGTTCCTTGGTTGTAACTGCAGTGGTAGCTTTGCCTCTAGACAATCCGCTCAGTCACTCAGAACGTGTAGAGGAGGCCGATTACTGATCGGTGATAGTGAGGAGCAATGTCTCCAGGAGAGCTCTTGGGTTGGGGCCATTTTGGGTGGTTTATGGTGTAGATGGTTCCGGTGTGCACCAAGTTGTCCTAAGAGCTTCCCTGGCGTAATGGACTTGTGCGGAGCCTTGCCTGCTTTGTGCGAGAGTGACAGTCGAAACTTTAAACCCTGAGCCCTGAAGCCGAAACTCGCAGGCCGATGCTTTCAAGGCCCTGGCACAGACTGCAGTGGGAGCCAAGGCCTTGGGTCTAGGGCCTTTTGACGGTTTAGTAGGTAGGGTCTTAGGTTGTTAGGGTTTAGGGTTGAGGGTTCAGGGTTTCGGGTCTCAGGTTTGAGGTGTAGGGTTCAGGGTTTCGGGTTGAAGGTCTAGGTCTAAGGTTTGTGGCTCCTGAAGGGTACTCTACGGGCTACTTTTAGGGGTTTGATATAGTTTCAAGTTTTATGATTTCCTGAGAAAAGGCTTTCGGGGACATACTATAGTTATGCAGGGGTCGTAACCGAAGATCATGTTCTGACCAAGTGGCACATACACGGATCTACGAAGTTCGCAGGGCCCTCCGAGATACAGAAGTTCTGTCTTCATGCACCCCACTCCCGTATGCTAACCGGAACTGTCGCGAAGGTGCTTATTGCCAGCGTTGGCATCTCTACCTATGGGGAAAAAATGAACCAGGACCCGGCCTGGCCGAGTGGCCCTTAGCATCCGAAGAGCCACTGTCTCTGACCGGGCCTTGCAGGACGTGGCCGAACAGTTCGGATACAAGACACCTGGTAAGGATCTGGAATACAGCGACTTGGCCAAGCTTGCAGGCTGTAAGCTGGTAGGCTTCAAGTCCGCCAAGGTGATATGGACACCATCTTTCCAAAGTTCCGCTTGTTCCCGGCCAATGGCGGGGCTGACATTGAGTATACCGGCGAAGTGAAGACGGATGCAATGACCCTTTTCCTCAAGAAGGACATACGAGAACACGTAGGGGCAGTCCTGTACAATGATCGAATGCTATTGCTTGGATGTGAGTGGTATTGTTTCTGAAACTTTGCTTCGATGTTGCATGGCGACCAGGAGGCGAAAGTTTACTGTGGACTAAAGGGCACCATCCGTGAGTTTGACAAGCACGGCACTTGGTCAAGTAGGGTTGTCGCACGAATGCCTCGAGCTGCTGGGGCTCAATGCTGGTGCCTGTCGAGGCTTGCGGCAGACTTTGTGAAGTCCGGCGCAAACAAAGCGGATGTAATCCAGCGGCTTGCCCAACCGTTATGCCGGTGTCCCTCTCGTTGTTGTGGACTCACCGTTCTCCATGCGCTTAGGCCGAAGGTCGGAGGTTTTTCTAGACCCGCAACTTGATGCAACAACCACAGTGATTACCATAATGATTGCTATGCTGATTACAATACTGATTAGTATACTGATCACTATCCTGGTTAGCATACTGATTGCTGTACTTGTTACTATGAAACCCAGACTGGTTGCCAGACTGATTGTTTTAATGATGAAGCTCTCGGTCGCCCCCCTTCTCGCTTCCAAGTCGCTTGACCCGTTTGCCCGGCAAAGGAGCGCCAAGGTGGCAGCCGAGGCTCTTACAGGATCGGGCACGCAGTCTGCAGTCCTTGAAAGAAACTGAATATACGGCGCAGAACATGTAACACACATGTATATGTATGCATGTATGTATATATGTATATATACATGTATATGTATGTATGTATACCTTATGCATAACACAACGTGTATCCTTCAGTTTATCCAATTCTGGTCCAGTCTTTTCATGTTATCTACCTCGGAGAGAACCGCACTGCAGAGAACCCGCACGGATCTTTCCACTGCAGGAGCAGAGAAGGAAGCAGCGTCCTACTACGTAAAGGCGATGGAAAAGACACAAGGCAAAAGTGACTGGTTCAAGATACTTGCCTGAAAGCTCCGTGTGACGACTGTAAGAGGAATCTCTGTATGTAAGTATTCTGGCGTTCCCATCGTCTTTTCGACTGCCATCTCAGCCCTTGGTTTCTTCTTGCAATCACCTCGGGGAATCGTTCCACCCAGCAGTTAGCAACACAGCCGATCGCAGACATGCAGGTGCCTAGCGGTCTTTCTTTTGCCATTCTGTCGGTGTTTGTATCACGAACTGCCTTTTGCCCTTTCGCACGATTTGTCGATGTTCCTTCCCTGTGCTCAAGGACAGAGTTTGAACGCCTGAAGCAGATCATCGCAGGAGGAACGGTTGCGCCGTCAAAGAAGGAGGATATGGCACTCAAGGCTCGCCTTAGAACTGGTGAGCTGGCCCTTTTCGAAGCATTCCTCAGGTGAACCGCCTGAGCTCCTTCGTCTCGCCGAATGATGAGCTCTGATTCCACAGTTTGCTGGCCCACCAACAGGTCGGCAGTGAGCGAAGCTGAAGGAATTCTGACAGCCTTTATTCTCATTCTCGCTTGACGTAGGACCGTCGTAGGACCTCTCCTGTGCGCATCTGCTGAACTGCGCAAGCTGATGTTGCGCAAACCACGGGGGTCGACGAGGGCAAAGCAGATGCAGATGTGCATATTTTGTTCAAGAGATGCAGAAGACTTTCATATACCAGAGTTGGCCTGTTGCGGACCGCATAAAGAATTTGGGGCTGGGGGCTCAGGCGCAGAGCTGGGTTGTCTGTTCTTGCGGGTGTGGGCAGAACATGGGGCATGAAAGGCTGGCAGACGACATTGCCAAACATACTGAGGCGGAGAACTTTAGGAAGGCGTGGGATGCACATGTGACACCCGCAGTTGGTTTCACCTCAAAGAAGGAGCCGGCTGCATACGATGTACAAGACCCCGTCAAGCGAACCTGTAATGCAGGCACAGCTAGTGAAGCATGGCTGGCATAGCTGGTGTAGATCGCCTTGTTAGTTGGACATCCGCCGATGCAGGTCCCCGCGATCAGAGAAGAAAGCTCCGTAGAACTTGGGGTAGCGATGGGTCCTGCCCAGCCGTAGCCATGGACGTCGACGATTTGGACTCGTTGGGGTCGAATTCCAACAAAGGCTCGCAGGCCTCCGTGGCATCAGATGACGGAGAGCCTGCCCCGGCTCCACCTGCTCCTTTGCTGAGCCCATCTGCCCACAACTATGCCCGTGTCAAGCAGGAGCGCTTGCGAATGGGTGAGGTGGACAGCTTCCGAGGCATCAACAGCGCAGACATTTCGCAAGAACAAGCGCAGCAGAGCATCGACTCGCGGTTCCGCAGCAAGGTCGAGGCGGTGCTAAAGCGCCTCCTGGCTTTTGCACGCTCGCCAGGCGAGCTGGCGACCTTTTTAGCCACGGAGCTGCACGCCACCAAAGTGAAGTGTGGCTACGCGCTGTGCCTCATCGGTGAGCCGGCCGATTCGATGATCGTGCTCGTGGACGGCTATGCGCAAGTTCATGCCAAGGACACTGTCTCACCATGCTTCCCACCTCCTTCAAATTCAAAACGCCGGTGGCAATTCTCGGCCCCAGATCCTGTTTAGCAGAAGCTGCAATCACAGTCGCTTGGGGCAGTTCAGCTCGTAGGTTGTAGATTCAGTCCAGTGTCGATCTGACTTGACCATAATTCGACCTTTTGAACCATTCGTCCGCATGCCACCAGCTTACTTCAGTGCGGTTGGCCCATGGATCCAATGCAATTCAAAGCACTTGTAGGAGATTGGTGCAGTCGGAGTCCTCGGGCCGGGTGCCTCATTCGGTGAGGCTGCGCTCATGGGCGGGGTGCTCAGAAGCAGCCCTCAGGACACATGCAAACAGCTTTCAGCGAAAAACGTGGTAGTAGCGCCGAGACGTTGAGTCATGAGAGAGAGATTCACAGGAGCAGCAGATTAAGCCTCTAGCATCCAACGTCATCTTTTCGAAGCTTGCAAGCAGCAGCAAGCAGCAGCAGTGACGCAGTCGTAAGCCATTTCGCGGTCGTAGCAGTCGCGGGTCGCCGTTGGCAGCTTGAAGCTCCATGCTGTGATGTGGTGGGACCTCGTGCGAACAATTGGTGATCCTTTGATCCTGAGGGCTTCTGCACGTTCGCACGGCGACGGTGCAAGCACTCCAGGAGCGCAGTAAGCACACTCGGGCCTTTGCAGAGTACGCGTTCAGGCACTTTGTCACCCGTTCTTGCAGGATTGCATGGTGGTGGAGCTTCGCCGCTGGGCCTGCAGAATCATGAGACAGAGACCTGTTTCCCAACCTTTCTGAGACAGAAGCTGACTGGTGTTGGTTCTGACTGGGCGCTGTTAATCCGAAGCCAGATTATTTATTGATTCTTGTCAGCTAGGAATTCAGAGAGATGGGCACGACAACCGCCAAGGACAAGAGGTGCTGGAGAGGGCCAAGTTTCGGCGGGTGAAGGAGTCACTGCTGCTTTTGGCATATGAGAGATGCCGCTTGGCAAGCAAGCGGCGTGCAATGCTTTCGTTGTCGCAATGCTGAATACTTTCTTGCGAGCACAGGCCAGCAATCGCAGCAGTGCGTGCCAATGGGCGCCCTACCCCTTGGCATTTCGCCACAAGATCCCTGTGCTGCGATCGTGGCACTGCATGCAGAGCGCATGGACATACCTCCAGGTGTGGAAGGGCTTGCATTGGTCGGTCTTCAGCCTTGCAACTTCAGCTTTGTTTGCTCTCCTTTGCTTGCATGCTGTTGGCTGGGCCCTCTGTGCAGGTGAGGCGTGGCTGCCAATGCCGGCCGCTGGGCTCGTTGCTTTTTCTCTGTCAGTCTTGAACTCACGTTTGCAATTCGTGACCTACAGTATTTTCGGTTGGAACTCGTCAGATGGACGCGAAGGGTTCGCGTGTGACACCTGGACAGTGAGAGGAAAAGGCAAAGAACTGGCTTTGTGTTGTTCCAGCGCAAAACCATTTTAAGGTCGTACATGTTTTCTCGTCGTACCTTTTCTCCGTCCCGGAAAGTGAACTTATGGAAGCTCAGTCGCTTTTTCGGCTTCTTAGCTTCCGGCAATCCCAGCTCTTGCAGTGATAACGTCCATGCCTTCTGAGCTTCCGTTTTTGTCGCCGCGGCCGTTCGTGGTCTTTGCGGCCAGTGAGTCTAGCACTGTGTTGTTTTTTGTCTTGGTTCTTGCTCTCTGCTGCTGTCTACTGCTACTGCTACTGCTACCGCCAGCGCCACCGCCACCACCACCACCACCACCGCCACCTCCGTTGTAATCGAGGCGCAAGGCCTTCAGACCGCATGCAAAATTTCTCTGAAGCCGGAACACAACAACCTCGAAGGCCTAACCTCGAGCTTGCTCTTTGGGGCTGAGGGCTTGTTTCTTGATCTTTTTCTTGTTGTTGTTTTGTGCCGTAACCGTCGACAGTACACACAAATACTCACCGAACTTCACAAGCAGAAGTTGCCGAACACCTATTGCTTCGGTGCCTTCTCAACCTCTTCAGCACGAAATGCCGTCTATACGCTCCGTGGATGTGTTCAACTTACAAAAACAAGCGAACAAGCACGCGACAAACAGAGCCCGGAACAGCTGAATTTGCGCCATGTCCCAACATCCAGTCAAAAATGTGGCACTCCAACCAGCTGCTGGTCCATTTTAAAGCCACATGTTGTTGCAAAAAAAGCGATAACACTCGCACACAGTCCGCAGCGATTGGGTTGCTTTCGGACTGTAAGGCCAGGACTATCGAGCACGTCGTGATTTTGCAGGGAGCAGGGGACGGGGGACCTATTCCATCGTACTCAAGCCTCCTTGCAATGTGCCGGTAGCACGACACATGCTATGGGGCTGCTTTCTAGTATAGGTTGCTTGTGGATTGTCGTTGAGCACCAGATGTCCTCGTCGGCTATGTACAAAGACCCTAAACAACTCTAGAGTGCCTGATTGCTACAGCATCTTGCGCCAAACTGCCCGGAGCTGCATGAGGCAAGGCTGGGCATTAAGACGGGTCATGGAAGATTCGCCTCAGGACTCGCACCCCGCTGGGCCCCACTTTGGCGTCCTCGTGGCTGGTTTTGCCCACATAGAGGTGGGTGGACGGCGAGTATCGCGGTTGAAGGCAGGTGCCTTGGAAGCAGATGGATGTAAGTTCAGGCTTCGGATTCTGAAAGGCACTGTATTCAATTGAGCCATATCTGCGGGACCTGGTCGCTGGAATATTTTTCTTCTAAGGATATCTAAGGATATATGGGGTCGATATGAGCTACATGGTTTTGTTCAGCCTGCTGGGTCTCCGACACGCGACAGCAGTCGTACACATTTGCTGGGATGCACAAGCCCCAGCAGTTCCGAAGCCGCAATGCATCCTCCAAAGAGCTTGCTAGCAGCAGCATCCCGTGCCAAAGGAAGACAGCAGAAGCTCCCAACTATCGTCAAATCAGTGATCAACTCTCAGTCGCAGCCTTCTTACGATTCGGATCGAGGGGCTCGTTGACCGTTTGTTGACCTCCAACTTCATCTCTGAACAAATGTGGTGAGATGCTGCCCATGTGCGCCTGCACTAGACTGACGAATTTCGGGAGGAGTGATCTAGAATCTAGCGCAAGATTGCGGCGCTGAGTAATCGTCGCTGCTGTGGCCAGGCAGCTTTGTACCAGAAGGCGTTTTGGCCGACAGTGGTGCGATCATTCGGGCAGCCTCCAACTGCTTGGCATACCGAGTTCCGTGTCTCGCCGGCAACAATAACAAAGGGCAGCAGGTTTGAGGACAGACGATCTGTGGAATGTGCAGGCCGAACTTCGCCAGTCTCACACCTCTGACAATGACTTCTAGGCGAGACCTTCGTTGCGCTTTCCACAGGCAGTATGATCTGCTCCTGGCGGTGGGCTCGCGGCCGGATTGTCGGGATTGGTCTGGCTCCCAAGAGTTTCCGTGCCTGAGAAGAGTTTGCGACGGAGACGGAACCCGTATAAGCTCCCCAGGTATGACAAGTGCCGGGAGCATGAGCGACAGGCACGTGAGGCCGCACCCAAACTTAAGCTGCAGAGGGTTGTATGGGCCCGTGAATCTGAACCATGTCCGGGATCTTAGGTTTTACTTCTTGGCTGGTTTGAGGCGGACTCGAGTAGCCTGAACAAGTACAGTTTTGGACTGAGCTTGGGCTTTTTGGGGGAGTAGGCTTGCATTGACTTGGGTGGCAACGGCCTCTGCATGGTCTACAATTGGTTCCCGACGGTTTGTTGTCTATCTGGAGCCATAGTTGCTTAGCAATCGCCCTGTCCACGTTTCTCACCCCTAAGCCCTGGTGCCTGCCTGCCTTGAGCGAGTGTGCGTGTCGAAACCATCCTGAACCCCAAGCCGCAACATAGCGAAATCACCACTTGGAGAGCTTCTAGAGCTCCAGTCGTGAACCGCGTGGATTCTTGTACCGAGCAGCAATACTAGCATAGTAGTGACAGCAACAAAGCAGTAACAAGAATACTGGCAAAGCTCGGCTTGTTGTGACAATTTAAGCTATAGTAACCATCACCAAGAGCTACTGAGCTCGTGGCTCACGACCCCTTCCCTTTTCCTCCCCGAACTCTGGGGAAAGGCGCTGGGGCAGCGCCTGCGCACTGCTTTCAAGGCGACAGCCTTGTCACCGACTCGCCCAGCCACCGGGCGAATCTTTGTGTTTGGTAGGCTTGAGAGCCTCAAACGAGGTTTTGGCCGGATCCTGCATTTGGGAACAGCTTCACGAGGTTCCAGTGCTGAGAGAGAGAGGATGTTGCCTGCACACGACACAGGCTGGGGTTTGGTGGGGCGGTAGATGGAAAAGCGGGTTTCGGGATTCTTCAAGTTTCAGGGTTTGGCACTCTCTCCCATGCCCCATGCAATCCGGCCGCTGTCCGAGGCCACGAGCCCCTGCAGCCTGCAAGCCAAAGCGGCCTCTTGGCCGAAGCCGAAGTTGTCTGTTCTCATATAAGACTTTCGGCATGCCCGACCTGGTGATGGGGCAGGAACCCGTGCGAGTGGCGGGTCGGCTCCAGTTGAGATATCTCCTTCTACGCACATGAATCGACCGAGGCTCCGAAGTGCGTGCTCAAGGCACCTCCAGTTTTCCCGGTTGAGGACAACCGTCGAAGGATTCCCCAGCGCCGGAAGAAGGGCAGCAGAGCTTTCGAGCATCAGAAGGCGATGGAGAAGTCAAGCCAAGTTCCTCTGAAGTGCAGCTCTACCACGCGGCTCGACCGCAGCCGAAGTTATGGCTGCCCACTCTCGCAGAGATCCTCGTCCAAGACGAGGTCCGCGTCCCAAGGTGCTCTTTCGCGGTCGGACTCACATGGTTCACATGCTTCACATGGTGCACTACCAGTAGTGCACCCATCGGCATTGCCAAGTGGTGTCAGCAAGGGGCCCAGGAAACGTTTCACCACAGTCTTCGACGTAGCACCCGCAGGGGACTTGTATCACTGCACGTCAACGAACCGTCCTGCAACGGTTGGATAACCTGCCTTTGCGCAGTCAACTTCAACGAGTGTTTGAGAAACCAACCCCGCCACATACTTCTCATCTTCATGTCTCCATGTAAAGATACTGTGAGTCATAGACGCGCAGGACTCAGGAAACTCCGTAGATTCCTCAAACAATACTGTTATTTTTTATGATTATGGTGATGACTATTGCTATGACTACTATTGTTATTCTTGTTATAGTAGTGGTACTGTTGCAGAGTATCAGAGTATTTTGAGAGCAGCTCTGGAGAATCGGAGTACTCAGTGCATCGGAGCTTCTCGGCTTTCGCAGCATGGATGACGAGCAGAGGGAGCTGTTCAGGGCTTTGGTAGCTCAGGAGTTGGGTATTGGATGGGGATGTGACGGGTTTAGGCTGGGGTTTGGGGGAGTTTAGGGTCTAGCGGAGTCTAGCGGTGTCAGTTTACATTGGAGGCCGTTGGAGTTTAGATGTGAAGGTTCAGGTTCAGAAGTGCCCCACGGCAAACAAACACGGTTTCCAAGCCTTTGTACCTTGGAACATGCTACAAGCCAGTAATGTTGAAGGGCAGCCTCAAGGTGTGGATCTGAACACTCGAAGTCATCTTTGCGTTGGAAGCCGGTTGCGATTTAACTTCAAAGTGGCCTGTGCCAAACTCGGAATCCCACTACTCAGTCCGGCGCTGCTTTCCTTTGAGCCTGAGGCCTTGCTAGGGCCAAGGCGGCTAAGGGTTTAGGACTTAGATTTTAGGATTAGTGCTTGGGGAAGCCGACTGAGCTTCAAGGAAATGCAAGTGCAGGCACCCGTCCAGGGTGTTCTACAAATTGCGAAGCACTGGTGCGCTGCAGCAAGGTTTAAAGAGCACAGCTGAGGAAGCTTGGAAGCCCTTTGCACAGAACTTCTCGCGAAGAGAAGGCTTCCTCAGCGGTCCAAGAGCATAGCATAGTTTGGACCGGCGACGGACCGGACCTTTCACGAGAAAAGGACAACGTGCTCTCGGAGCGGACCTTCTCATGCTAAGCGGTCATACGACGACATAACACGGAAGTGGTGGACATGTGACATGAACGCAGCAGTACAGAACTAGAACAATTACGGGTGTCAACACTGCTGGCACCACTACCATTCCTTCTATTGCTGCCTCTGCTTTTCGGCCCAAGTGCAACGTTGAATTCAGAAGGCATCCATGACTCGTGTAGATTGTAGATGTTTGAATGAAAATGAAGAGAACACAAGCGAAGATGCTGCATGACTTGAGCATGGTCCTGCAGAGGACTTGCGAGAATGTAGATGCCTGGAGCGCATGTCATCAGGCGTCGTGTATGTCCCCTTCCTGTGAGTATCACGCATATGTTCCATACGGTCTCCTCTTCCAACTTGCCGGCGACATGGTCAATGGCATCGCCTGCGTTGGAAGCCGGCGCTTGCCCTAGATGTAGTTGTGGCTGTGGTTGTCGTTGTCGTTGTTGTGGTTATTGTTGCCGTCGTTGTCGTTGCTGTTGTGGTGGTCGTGGTTGTTGTTGTGGCTGTGGTCGTTTTGGTGGTGGTGGTGGTGGTGGTGGTCGTCGTCGTCGTCGTGGTCGTCGTCGTCGTCGTCGTCGTGGTTGTTGTTGTTGTTGTTGTTGCTGCATGTTGTTGCATGTTGTTGTTGTTGCTGCTGCTGCTGCTGCTGATGCTGGTGCTGTTAGTGTTGGTGTTGAGTGTTGTTGTTGCTGTTTCTGTTGCTGTTTCTGTTGCTGTTGCTGTTGCTGCCGCTGCTGTTGTTGTTGCGCTGCTGCTGCAGCTGGTGTCGTCGTCATGGCCGTCTTTGTTGCCGTTGTCCCATCATCCAAAAGCCGCCGAAACCGGTACCTCATGTGCTCAAACAACAAATCTGGGTCCAGGGATGTCGGATCGGAAAGGACCCCGGAGTTACCTCCCCAGCACGACCTTCACATGGAAGCACATCTAAAAGTGTGAAAATGACAGAACGCATCGGTTGTTTTGCAATTTGATCGCAAGTCCAAGAACACCTCCATGTTAACAATCGAACGAACGGTATCAGCCCCAGAACGAGCCCACTCGAGGATATGCAGAACTTTGACGAAGCTCGGAGGTCGTGGGCGACACGTGCGCAGCCCGGACAACTGCACAGAGTGCTTGGGGTCCCAGGGATGAGAGATCCCAGTAGAACCCCATGTCACGACCGGAATCATGTAAAGTCTGCCGGTGTGATTCGACAACATTCTTGCGCCGCCGTGAAAAAGAGCCCATCAGTGACGTTAGTACAGCCTCCACAGAGCAGTTTCTTCGTGAGTGGCATCGGCTGGAAGTTGGCCGTTCGTACGTAAAGCTCATGCCGTGAGGTGTGCAGGAAGCCAAAGACCTCCCGCTCCCAGCAGCACCGGTGCTGCAAGCGCCCCCACCCAACTCGGTGCCTGGGCCTGCATCCGACTCTGAGACTGTAACCTGCCTCGAGAGTGAGAGGCTCTGGGAGTGTGCTCGGTTGAGAGGTGGAGTGGGAGGTCCAAGACATTGGCCCGGGCTCCGACGAAGGCGAAGGCCAAGACCTTTCTTTTGTCCTTTCGACGAAGGTTTCTTCAAGGTGATGCGGTCGCACACTGGAAGCCGCATCTGCAGGAGGCGATCATTCTGATCTTCCAGTTCGGCCAGCGCTGCCACTGAAGCAGCTGCCCACTGCACAGTACGCCGATGGTTGCGTGCTTGCATGCAGACAGGCAGTGTACACCAGGTGGGTGTTCGTACACAATCAGATGCATGGGACAATGCTTTAATGCCTTCTTCTGTCGTGTATATACATATATATATATACATACACACACACATATATATATATACACACACATAGATATATAGATATGGATATGTAGACACATAGATATATAGATATAGATAGCAAGGGATGTCGGCAAGCTGAGGGTTGGAGGGGCAGGCACAGCTGTAGAGTTCTGCTTTAAAAAATGTCGGCGGGACACAAAGCTTGAAATACCTTGTCTTAGCAAGGTTCCTCAGAGGATCTGCCACTTCTGCCGCCGCTGCCACCTCCGGCACCAGTTCAGCAAGCACCGAGCCAGGCTTGATTGTTTTGGTACCTGTAGTCCGCGCAAACTTTCCGATCATACCTGTAATGCAGGTGCTCCCTGCGCATGGTTCCCTTGCCGGACCTGAGGATGGTGCAGCCCTCGGAATGCTTTAGACTTGGTAGGTGTAGGTTCGGGTACCATCGGTTGAGGCTCGATCGACCTGTTCGCATGCTTCTGTCCCGGTAACCTATCAACCGTAGGGCGTAATGCTTTCAAAGAATTCTTATAAGAATGCCGCGGGCAGTTTCAGGTGCCGGCACCCAAGCGTTGCAGCTGCCTCCACCGGCACCTCTCAAACCGGCACCGGCGGCACGGCAACGGGAGAGCTCTCCCGAGTCGGAAGCAGGCATCTTTTGTGTGAGCCTTCGTGGCTGGAACTCGTCTCGGTTTTTTTTTGACTCCCGGTGAAGTTCCATGAGGATTGGCCAGGTGCGAAGTTGGTTTGCTCATTGGTGATCGGTGATGGCTTATCTCAGTGTTCGGATTCATTCCCAAACGGATCAGTTTAATTTGAAACTGAACACACAACTGGGATGTTAGTTTTCGTACGTGTATGCCTGTGTGTATATATATACACATATGTTCTCATGTATATGTAGTACACTTACACACATGCATACATACATACATACATACGTATACGCCAGTGAGAGGTGGTCAAGAGCTCCCATTGCCACCCCCGGCTCCGGTGAAGCAGGCGCCACTTCAAACGCAGGCAGGGCAGGGAAGGGCACGAGCTTTGCCAAGTTCAATGCGTCATCGGGTCCCTGCGCGCCTACTGGGCGAGTTGAGTGGAGATGAGTGGAGAGTAGGTGCACTCGGACCCCGACTTGGAGGAAGGTGAGGGCCTCGGAAACATGGCGCAAGCCCGTACATCTTTTTTTGCCACCTGTTGAATCTTTGTCAACGTTGCCGTTGCCTTTCGACCTGTTCAACACGTTCTTAGTTTCCTGGGATTCTCGTTCTGCTTTGTCTCGTGTCTGTTATTCCGTTCCTCAAGTCGTAATTAAGTTGATGCAGGACGCCACGCTCGAACCTGCAAACACGCAGCCCGAAGAACCTCCGTGATCCGAAATCTGCAGGCCAGATCCCCTCGCTCCGCGAATCCGCTTTCACCTGTCGCAACATCTCTTCGTACACGCACCTCGTGTGCCAAATCAAAGTCGAAAGCCGCTGATCCGTGCTCTTTGGGCCCGAACGCAAGAAAGGCTTGCTCCGAAAGAAAGACGGGAACGAGAATGCACAGCATCTGCCTACTCCAGGAGCTTCAAAGCACAGCCGTTTTTGAGGCATCGAAGTCCTGGAACTGCCGCCCCCGGCGCCACTGAAGCCCGCGCCGTCGGCGCAGCTGCCTGGCGATGGCGACGTGCTTACAGTATGATCTGGTGTCAAGCGCTACAGCATGGAAGGGTTTTTTGATTTCAGGTTGAGAGGATGGATATCTTGGGGCTAGACGTTGTTTAGCGGTTGCGCTTATTCGGGGCTCGAGGTTTTTCGGCCTCGGTTGCACTCCGCGGCATGCGCGCCTTCCACACGCCGAGAATCTGAAGTCTGAGTTTCGCACGCCCCAACAGCAAGCATTGGCAAAATCAGGTGGGCTGAAGGATCTGCCCTTGCCGGGGCCTGCACCTGTGCGACCAGCTCCTTCACAAGCTTGGGTGCTTTGCCCGCAGGTCGTTGGAAGTGCCGTCGATCAGGTATGTATGTATTTATTGCTTACGTGCATGTTTATATAATTATGTATGCATACATACTTACACCACCCGCACACATACACATATACGTACAGCCAGACAGACAGACAGACGGACGGACGGACGGACGGACGGACGGACGGACAGACAGAGAAGACATACATACACACAGACACACAGACACACATAAATCCATGCCATGCATGCATACATACATACATGTATGTATGGGTGTGTATGCATGTGTGCATATATATATATATGTATGTAAGTAAGTATGTATGTATGTATGTATGTATGTACGTAGGTAGGTAGGTAGGTAGGTAGGTAGGTAGGTATGTATGTATGTATGTACACATACACACGTCGACACATACACTAGTATGCATGTACCTTTGTACACGTATACATCTGCAAATGCGAGTTGATTGATTGATTGATCGATTGATTGATTGAGTGAGTGATTACGAATGAATGAATCAGTGATTGATCGTGTCGACGTGTGTGTTTGTGTGTTGGTGATCGCATTACCTGTGGCCCTCAAGGTTGAGTCTGGAGACGGTTGCAGGCCGCGGGTGACCCAAGGCCTTGCCAATGCCGTGAGTGGACTGGACGGCATTCGCTGTGCTAGCCATGTGCAACGCACATCGAACCAACCGTGGCCGCAGGCCGCCCGGTCGTCCCACCGCTGCCGCTGGCAGTGTGCTTATCGTGCTCTGAGAAAGGAGTTCCACAAACGTACACATACATAGATATTTACTTATATATACATGCAATATATATATATGTGTGTGTGTACATACAGTACACACATACATACATACGTGCATGCCTGCCTGCCTGCCTGCCTACCTGCCTACCTGCCTACCCACCTGCCTAGCTGCCTAGCTGCCTGCCTGCCTGCCTGCCTACCTGCCTACTCCTGTCAACCAGGCTACTTGCCTACCAGCCTGCCTGCCTGCCTGCCTGCCTGCCAGCCTGCCTGCCTGCCTGCCTGCCAGCCTGCCTGCCTGCCTGCCTGCCTACCTACCTACCCACCTACCTACGTGCATGCATGCATACATACATATATATATATATGTTGTATCCAACCACATGGTTTCGTGATTTGCGTTCTGGCCCCCTCCCCCGGCCCCGCTTGTGTGTGTGTGTGAGAGAAAAACTGGACTTGTTTGGAAGCTGTTTATTCGATTTGTACTAAGGCGCTTATCTTTGTGTCTTCTAATCTGAAGCGATCAAGCGGCTTCCAAACAGACCTGGTTAGGCTGGCTAGGCCCCTTTTCCATTAGCTCATGCGAAAGGATTTCAGAGATTCCTGGCCCTGGGCCTGACGCCTGAGTCTGTCGGCCCCAACCCTGCCGCTGGCCTCGGGCCTGGCCTGGCCCCAAACCCAACCTGTCTTTAATCTTACTATTTTTTGCTAGAGATAAAGATCTTTTTGCTTTCTGGATGGTGTTCCACGTCTTGGTTACGGTTACTCGCACACTTGACACATCAATTAGATCGACAAACGGACCAGCATACTATTCGTGTATCAGGGGACGACCTGGCTGCACCCCAGCCAGGGCACAGGCAGGATGTGCAGACGATCCAAGTACGATTCCCAGTCTCGGGGGTACCACCTCCTCGACTTCCTGTTCCTCGGTGAACACGTTGTCACCAAGCTTGCGCCTGCGACCGGTGCTGGCCAGCTGAATCTGGAGGCTCTTGATCTTCCACTCGCTAACGACACGCTGGTTTCAGTTTGACGTGGTTGTGCAATGCAATGCATGTCTTTGTTTGAGAGAGCCATTGGTTTTTCATTTATACGATCCAGGAAGTCAACAACATCCGTCTGAATTACGCATGTTTAGTTTGTTTCCAATTTGGACTAGTTTTTTGATTTTCGGAAATTTGCTACGACCATTGAACCTTTAGTTGAATCTTTCAACTGCATTTAAGACCATCGAATCCATGAAGTTGTTTCGTGTGACGGGGGTGATTGAGCCGCAGGGTTCTTGTCTTGATATGCTTGGACATATAAGCATGTCTTTGCGCTTGCGCTTTTGTTTTGCTACACTTACTGTAGTCACTTGTAGCATGAAGTTGGTTTCAAAGCAGGCGGTCGTCGAAGACGACAAATGTAGGGGTGATCCATAAAACGAAAGAAACGATACCCTAAATGCAGCATGCCAGCCTTGTGCGAGCGTGCGAGCCGAAATACAGCAATGTTGCCATCATAGCTTTAGCTCTTTGTTTCGTTCGAGCGAGGATTTAGAGCGTTTAGGGTTTGGTGAGGGTGTCGAGCTTGTGGGGAGGAAATTTGGGAAAGTGGGCCGGTTGTGGATTCGGACCTGCACAACTGGCCGAACAGTAGCTTCCGAATAGACCCGATTTTGCTCAGCCACCCCCCCACCCGCTCCCCCGCCCCCTCAATGGTGGCTTGAGCCTTCAGTGCAAGGGTGGGGGAGCTTGTTCCACAGCAAAAATGGTCTTCAGCGACCATTGTGGCAATATCATGCCTCAACATGGTTGGCAATAGCCCCACCGCTTATTTTGCAGGTCTTAGGTTCAGATACGCGGGTCAATAAACACGGAGAAAAGTTGATGCAACCAAGCCGGTGCAGAAGAGTCTCAAGTGTTGGCGAATGTATGTCTTTATGTATTTATGTCTATACATAGATATGTATGTGTATGTATATGTATATATATATATGTATGTTTGCATCTATGTTTGTATGTATGCAAAAATGCAGGTGTGTACGTACGTAAGTTTTTTGTATGCATGTGTGTATGCAAAACAGTGGTTGCGCCGCGGCGGGCTGCCCCCGGTCATCCCTCCCCCCCCCCCCTGTGGAACGGCTTGGAAATTGTGTGGAATGGATGGGTGGTTTAAGCCTGGTTCTGCACGTGACCATGCCCCCCTTCCCCCTTCGTGGAACGGCTCGGGCCCTGAGCTTCAAATTTTGATCGCACTGAAACGTTCGACGGCTAGGGGGCGAGCCAGACTAGTTATACTAGCATCTCCGATGCTACTGAAACCTTTCAGAAGATTGCAGAAGACGGCTTTCTCCATACAAGGCGAAGGAGGCGCCTGTCGAAGAGGAAGCGCCGGAACCCGAACTGGTGTGGGTGCCTGGTGCAGGGCTGCAGTGTCAGTGTCCAAAGGGCCATGTACGGTAGAAAGCGAACGATGCAAGAGGGGTGTGCCGTATGTTGCGAGTAGCTTCATGAGAGCCCAGTCTTCCGTTCATGGCATCGTGTCGGCATGTTCCAGCTTAAAGGTGAGAGCCAGGTCTTTCTACATGTTGTCGACTTGCTGTCGCCTCTTCGATGACACCGGGCTTGTAGCTTTTGTGTACGGGTTTTCCCAACTCAGCTAGGGCCAGTGGCTGCGCATGTCAGCAAACTGTTGTGCTGCGACGAAGCATCACGGGTGTGCCCGGAACGCTGGCTCCACGGCAGCATTCACTTTTGCAGACAGCAGCTTGCAGAAGAACGACCATGGGAACACCCGGAAATGCGGCTTTTGCAGTCGAAAGAAGCTTGAGAGTTTGAAGACAGGCATGCTGCTCATGGCCGAAGAGGAATCCCCACATGCCTCAGAATCACGACTGACACAAATCTACCCTGGAAGCATCAGTGTGCTAAAATCTATACCGTGCTAAGGACGACCGGCCTATAGCTGCAGTGGCCCCAGCGACAGAGCCCTCTCCAGTTTGGGCTTCGGGTATAGCGTGTCTAGCTGTCTAACTGTTTTCCGAGCCGCCCTGCCTTCGGGGACCGATGCCCTCTCTGCTCGCCTATCCCTCGGAATGTTTCAAGCCTCGGAAAGGCTTTGTGAAGAGTGCGTTGGCACCCAGAAAAGGTGCGGGTCTATCGGCACACTTCAGAGAGTAGGGGGGGTTGAGGGTTTCTGGTTCCCAGCCCACGTTTTTTTATCTCCACGAGCCCATCTTTGGAGACCTGTCTTGGTGACGGGCGCCAGCCTCATGCAGAGCTCAGGTCGAGGACATTCGGTTTTGGACGGTGGAGCGCTACCAGATGCACCGCAAGTGCGCCGTTCAGTCGTAGGGGACAGGTAGGGTGCCATGCTTTGAAGCTCTGCATCCAGATCTAGGAAATGGGTCTTGACGTATTTTGCGCACGTCGCCGTTTTCACCCGCACTGCACTTCCAGGAAGCGGAAGTTCATGCGGGCCTGCAGTTGTGAGCACTTCGAGGCAGCCGCTTTGCACAGAAGATGCGTTGACGCCTTTTTGATTGGGGGAGTGGGCAGGAACAGAATCTCCGGCTGGTGCTGTTCGCTGCTGACAGGGGCCCAGATGCTTTGGAGCATACTCTTGCATGCAGGCTGTGACCTGACTGTCATGTAATGGAACGCAGCCCGGCTGAAATTCGGGCTGCGCCATGCTGCCTAGTCGCCAAGAGCCGAGTGCGGAGCTGATATATGCAATGCTAGATTCCCGATATATCAACTTGATGTCAGCTGAACTGCTCAGACAGGCTTGGTTGGGCCTTGCACACCTCAGGTCCTGATAATGCTGGGCGTGATTGCGATTGGTGCTCGCGACCTGATTCGTGACCGACTTGTCAACGAGGTCCTCGCCTTACGTAGGAAGCATCTGGCTCTGAACCAGAGCTGCTTTGACAACCCTTGACCGAGCCTCGACCGTCTCACCGAAACCCGTGGAGGCTGTCATGGTGATGGGCATCGTCTTCATCGTGCTAGGTGCCGCCCTCCGCTTCTTTTCCACACGGCAGCGGTGACGGCTTACCAACCACATTTTGCCTTGGTTAGACGGTTAGACCTCTCGCCCCTGGTGACCGTCACCTAGACTCTAAACTCTAAACTCTAAGCACGCACTGCCACGACGACTTGCGGCTGCAAGCAGTGGCAATCAGTGTCAAATGTGCCTCGGTGCTGCAGCCGTCTCAGTGGCTCTTAAAGATGTGGCATTTGAGAGACAGTCCTTCGAGAAGGCGAAGGCCAACGGGACTCTTTCGAACAAGCTGTATACAACAATCCTCGACTGTTCGACTACGGGCCTGTCCTGAAGTGCAATTTCATGTGCCTGACAAGCCACCGTTCTTAAGAAGGCTTTCAGGTCTTTTGCATCTTCTGTGCCTGCTTCCAGGCGGGAAGCCGCTTGGTGCCTGGTGCCAGCGGCACTGCTCACGCTACTCGTTTGTTGCACGGAGGCCCGACCGAGCTTGTCGGTACTAGCGGACAGCCTGCTCACAAGCACAAGCAGTGTGCATCCGGTTTATGTTTGAGCTTTTTTAAAGACATGCGAAGGTTTGACGCTAAACTTTGCAGCCGGCCTGTGTGTGAGGTGTTCGTCTTCCCCAGAGGCATCGAGCGTGCTGGCAGAGGTCATGTGCGCATGCGCTGCTCAGTGTGCTTTGCTGCCTTTTTGCAGCGCAGCGGTGCCCTCGGTAGGCAGCTCTCGGCTCCCACGACGGGCTGATCTCCTGCCGGGGGAGATCCCAACTGGCGATGAACTGCTGGAGGCCCCGGGCTTTGGATGCCAGGGTGTTCGCCGTCTTGTTCATCTTATCAGCAGCATAGTTGGCAAGTTACTGCCATCAAGTCTACAACAGTGAGGCCGGTTTCTCGGGTTTTGAGGCAATCGGAAGCAGTTATGCAGCGAGTCAGAGAAGTGCTTCAGTGCTTGAATACTTTCGCAGGCGAGTACGAAGGTAGATTAAACCTCTGGTAAGTTCATGGGTCTGCTTGTGTCTAATCCGGAGGTGTTCATTAGAACAGAGGCAGATGAATATTTGCAAAGTCCAGCTGCCGCACAAGAGCCATATTTTCCGATGTATGTAGAAACAGAGATGAATGTGAGAATTGGTGAGTTTGCCGCGGTTGAGCTTGAAAATCTGGGAGGCTGCAGAAAACGCTCGAGAGCAGGAGGTGATCAGCCAGGCACGCATCAATTGCACTGGGGTGACGAGGGCTTCCCGATCCCTTGGTGCCGGTTCCGGGGTTCAAGTTCCGGGTTTACACCAACAACAACACCAACAGCAGCAGCAGCAGCCGCCGCCGCAGCCACAGCCGGGACCCGGAACCCGAAACCCGGGCCCGGAACTGGGAACGCGGAACCAGGAAAAACGAAATCCCCAGACTGGAAACGCCCGAGTTTTTACGAAGAAAGGTCCTGCCGAAGCTTCCGGCCTGGCTGGATCCCATTGCATGGGCCTTGGACTTCGGATGAAGCTCCGCCGCGAAGCGTATCGTCGTGTCGGCCCACGGAGTTTGTAACACAGGGCCGAGGCAGCACCACGAGACTTGCTCCCAGGTGGGTAACCTCCTGCTTGTCATGCCTGTGGCAGGGGCCCAAGCGCAACGCTTTTTAGACATGATATGTCCCTGGAAGAGGAGTGGTGCCAGCGACGAATGTATGTACGAAAGAGGGGTGAGATGTGAGGTCCCGGACCCGCAAATACAGAGCATAAGCTGCCACATGGATCTCAGTGAACAACTGCTCTTGACACATCGCCGCCGAAAGAGTTTGGAGCCGAACCTGCATACAGTTCACCTCAACTCGTGACTTTGCATTACTTACTTCTCATGCTTCGGATGTTTGCGGACGTGGGTTCCTGTTGTTCAAAATTGTGACCCTTTGCCTCTCAGCGCTGGAATGTGCGATGCGGTCCGAACAAATATAGGTTTATCCGAACACCACCAAACCAACTCAGGTGGTGATTGGCAGCTGGGTTGCCTTCTCTGTCTGGGCCTACAAGGCGCGAGGGGCCACGCAGCTGGCAGCGAGCCCTCAGAGACACGAAGCTACTTGACAGCCTCAGCCAGCTACTCCGGCTGCCACTCTAAGAATCCAAGGTTTTCAGCAAAGGACCGCTCCTGTGCCAGGAAGGTCAGAAGCAGAAAGAGGCAGATGAAAAGCGGAAGCTACGAAAGGCCATCAAGCTTGGGCCTTGGCTCCGTGCAAACGCCGGCCTTGACCTGCTGTCGACACAGAACCAACTGTTCTTTTTCGGCTGCCGCCGTGTCAGAGCATGGGGATTTTCTAATTCCTCTGTTGCGTGTAGGGCTTTTCAGGACCATCCTTTTCGTCACGAGGCCCCGACGCACAGACACCACATTGATTCGTAGCGCTGCCTGCGTAATGTCTGCGACACTGCCCATGGACTTGCCCTGCTGCTGCCTGCTACCTTTGCAGGGGAGCTGGGTAGAGTACTTGGTCATCGAGAAATTGAAGGATCATCACTGGCTTTGCGTTGACGTCGACTGGTGTTTCAAAGAGCTGGGCTACATTGAGTCAGCAGCTGCGCAAGCCTTTGGACATCAGAAGTGCCGTTTCGGAAAGCTCGATGATGCCCAGCGCTTCAGTGACAGCGACTTGCAGTCGGACCAGATCCTCTGCTTCTTCCTGCGGACCACTGCAAAGGGAGAGCCGCTCCCCAGCCTGCGGGAAGGCTCCGGACTCCGGAGGGTTTCGTTTAGCTTTCAGATTGGAGTCCATGATTGCTTCCCGCACCAGCCTCGTAAACATGTCGCAGTGGAGGTGAATGGCTCGAGTCGAGTCCTTTCGATTTCCAGGGCCAGAGCTTGCAACCCGAGTATCCTCGGGGCGAAGGGCGCGGACTACTGCATCCGACGCACCTCGAGGCAAACAGAGTTCGCACTTCGCTACAACAAATAAAGCACGCACTCCTCCTTATAGGCCCTTGCAAGCTCCACGCCCTCCTGCAGGCTCTCCGAAAGATTGCATGCGAGCTGCGGCCATGTATACGCAGCCCCCAGGACTTTCTGCAGGAGAGCTTGCAGCTCTGGGTGCGTCTGGTGTCGTTGCTGTCGATAGATTCATCCCCCAGAAACGACGGGCGAAAGGCCAGGGCAAACGGCAAGCGTAGCAAAGGTGGCAAGGGAGGCAAGAGCCAAGCGAGAGGGGTTAAGGGCGGCGCTGCCATGGCTCTCGCCGACTCGGAGGACTCTGAGGAACCGTCTGACACGCAGGATCGCTATGAGGATCCGAAAGGGAGGGAAGGCTTTGAGAAAGTGTTGCGGTGCTGCTGGAATCTCCTGCGCCCTGATGCTCAGAAGCACTTCCTGCGCGAGGCAAACAACTTTGTGGCCAGCAGTCTTCAGAAAAGCCTGGAAACGGACCTCAAAGAGGACCCGGAACGGAGTGTGGAGGACAGGCTGAGTGACAAGCTGACACAGCTTGCGGCTGGCATCCGGGAGGGTCAGAGGGCACAGTGTGGAGATCACCTGCATGGTTCGCTGTTGATCCTCGTGAACTATGAGAACAGTGTCCTGATGTCTCCTGGGACTTTCAAACCCGGGCAGGATGGAACGCACAAGAACGTTGAGAGAATCGCCCACTTCTTCTATCATCGCTCTGCCGTTAAGTTCTTCTCGACCGTCCCGGTGCCTTCCGTAGGGCAATGTCAAGCCCTGCATCGCTGGAAGGATGCGCTCGGATCACTCGGGCCGCAGAGCGCAAGTTCGAGTGAGGTCCACAACATGTCGAGCTCGACAACGTCGACAGACATGAGCGGACTGTTCATGCTGTCGGGCACTTTGCTGTGTTTCGTGGCTGGCTTCCTCCTTGAAGATTGGACTGACTTTGCAAGATTGGCTCCGTGCTGCCGTCGTTTGTGCAGCACTGCTTGGAACGGAGAGAGCTGGAAGGCAGTGCCAGTCTTGGGTCGGGAGTCACTTGATGCGCAGAAGGAGAAGATGTGGCGAGGCCATTTTGGGAAACCAGGGCCTCTCCTGGATGGACAGAACTGCCTGAGTCGAAGAGTCGTCGGCTTACTTCTACTGGCACTGCGAACATTTTCTGCGCGGCCGATGTATTTGGATCGTGAGATCCACAGCCCAGAAAGTGCTCGGCTGCGGAGCTTGGTGATCAGCTTTGACCTGCCCGGGCTGCGGCCTCGTTTGGATTTCAGTCGAGAGCGACAGGACCTATCTGGCATGCATCCAAGGCGGGATGCTTCGACCGACAATTTTTTCTCGTACATGTGAGTTTGAGTTGGAAGCTTCAATGACTGAGGCGGGAGGAGCTGGAAACCGTGAGCACTGGGCCCACCAGCAATGCACTCTCGCAACAGCTCCTGATGCCCCGCACCCTGGGCTTCGGGCTTTGCTCGAGATTTCAGGGCATCTACGCAGAGCTAGAGCTTCGCTTCGATCGCCAGGACCTAGAAGCCTACAAGATCTTGAGTATGGCTCTAATCAGCTCAAAAAGTGGTGGCATCCCAGTCAGCATCATCAACACCCTTCATGACGACCTCTTCGCCTGGAAGCTCATGCTGGTGGGCAAGGGGCCACTGTTGGAGGAGAACTCTCCGACCGAGCAAGGCCGTCCGATGTTCGAGCCAGGGGCCTACTTCCAGTTGAGTGGCGGTGGGCCACACGCTGAGATCCGACTTCCTTGGGAGCCTCGGCAGTTGCAAAGCGGCGATCGTCTGGGCTTCCTGGCCGTGGAGGAGTCTGGGCCTGGGAGTGGACATGGCGAGCTCGAGATCGACATGCTGTCCTCCGGCCTGGCACTGGTGTTCCTTGGCTTCCCTGCAAGAGTGCCCCTTCACAGAAGAAAAAACGACTGTGATGAGATTCACGCGAGCCTTGAAGGCACAACGGCGAGATTGTCGCGGCCAAGTGGGTGCCGCCCCTTCGGGCTGGCAGGTGTCTGGGAGACTCAACGATGGCGTGAAGCTTCCTAATCCGAAGACTTAAGATTTTTAAAGCAGGTTCTGCGGGGTCGGGGTTTAGGCTTTCCTGCAAGTACAAACCCTGCAGCCCCGGAGGCGCTAAGCCCTAATCAAACCTGAAACGTTTCAGCGGATTTGCCTAGACCTGTGGAGCCTCCACAGGCCAGTCGGAGAGCGAGTGCGCAAACTCGGAAGCCCTGCAAATGATCAATCGTAATCGTAATGGTACTGGGAATTGTAATAGTGGTAGTGATAGTGACGGCGACGGCAACGGTATTGGCACTGATACTGTTTGGTAGGGAGATTAACTCATGGTAGTAGCGGTGGTGGTAGTAGTAGTCGTCGTGGTAGTAGTAGTAGTAGTAGTAGTAGTAGTCGTAGTCGTCGTCGTCGTCGTCGTCGTCGTCGTAGCAGTAGTAATGGTGGTGGTGGTGGTGGTGGTGGTGGTGGTAGTAGTAGGAGGAGGAGTAGGAGTAGTAGGAGTAGTAGAAGTGGTAGTACTAGTACCAGTAGTACTAGTAGCAGCAGCAGTAGTAGTAGTAGTGAAATAGTAGTAACGATCAATGATTAATATTCCCATTCATCATAATATGGGTAGGAATCATATTACGAATCATCTTGTTATTATGACTCATATTGTTAAGAAGAACATGTCAGAAGAAGTGGTGTTAATCACGATGCCTCGAAGGTCTGGAAAGCCGCTCCTGAGTGTGAATGAACCGATCTATGGCGAGGGGATGGCAGGAGAGTTAGGAGGGTTTGGTCTTCCTTCTCCGATCCAGTGTCTGGACTTATCCAGAGTCAGAAGCAGATGAAAGAGCACTCAGGGTTCGGGTTTGTTGGAGCTTCGGGATTGAAGGGGCTTACTATTATTCTGTGAGCTTTCAGCTCTTGGGTTCGCGGACCTGGGCTTCGCCAGGAATGCAGCTCTTGGTGGAGCAGTACTTCGGGGCCCGAGGAGGAGATGCTTCCTTACACTTGAATGCGGCAGCCCCCTCCCTCGAGTCTTTCTTTAAGATGGCCGGTTCGGGGCCCAACACGGGCGCCTGAGCAGCCTGCGAGTGATTGCTTGAGAGAAATTGTGGACGGGGGTGAAGCGAAAGCTTGCAGAGTTCATAGCCTTAGCGCAAGAATCGTATTCACCCGGGTTGGCACCTGAGGGTCGATCCAAACTTCACCGAAGAGGCGATGGCAGAAAGAGCACGGCGCCCAGACGATTTGTATCCCTGTCTTGGTGGTATCAACGAGTTGTAGCTCCAGTTGGAATGGGCGTGGGATTGTCTCGTGCAGCATGCCCTCTCACAGCATTTGCGCGGATTCTGTCTCACTCCGTCAGGGATCGGGATCCTGCCTCTGGCTGCTGAGGAGGAGAAGCGGTTGAAGCGCAAGAAGCGCAGACCTACGGCGTTCCAGGTGCCGTCGCCAAGTTCTAAAGAGCATGTGGCTATGAGTTAGAAGGCAGATTTCGCTGTGATCGCTATGAATCTTCTAGCAATGGTATAGAATGTGATGACCAAAAAGGCATAATCAATAAAAATTAATTAGCAGCAGATTGGCCATGACAGAGGTCGCAGGCGCATGAGCTGTCTTACCTCAGCGCAGTCTTCGAGATTTTAAGTGATGTAGGGCTCTGGCATGGTCTGACTAAACAAGATCCCCTTACAGTCTCGGTAGTTTGTCCCGAAGCCTTATTTTGATTATTGGCTATTAAGTGGTGCAGCCGGGAAGGAAGCCTTGCAGCTGGAGAAGGAAGTGGCCGAAGCTGCCGACAGGTCCATAGTGATGGAGTCATGAACTTTGCGCAGACGTTGAGTCCTTACTGGGGTGTAGAGAGTTGGTATTCGCAGGAGCTCCGGTGCATTTGGGGAAGTGTCACCCGTTCGAGAAGACTTTTGCCACAGAGTTTCTTTCCTGGCTGATGCGCTACGACATCATTCATTTCTCGTTTGTCTGAAGCACGAATCTGCGGCTTCACCATAAAACGCCCATGGTTCAAGGCCACCCCGCAACGCAACCACCAACCGACAGCGACTCCGGTGTTGCTACTGCCCACTCTTAATTACACTGCTTACCCGATCCTTTCGAAGGCCACAGCTAACCCTCCAGGGATGTTGAGCATCTCGCCAGGTAGAAGCCGCCCACTCCCGTTCAAAGCAGCTGCGGCTCAATGATGCGACAGTGATGCAAAACCAGACCTGGCGGTATGTGCAGCCGTTGTGACTCCACTTTTCACAGTTTTCAGCCGTGGCAAGATGAAACTCCACTGGCTCGCCTGCACTGTTGGAAAAGTAGCTGCCCCGGCTGCGTTCGACAGAGGTCTTCCGATCGAGCTGCTGTGACGGTTTTGCGTCTTGTGTACAGTCTGAAGAGTGATGCACTTCTCATTATGCTGCCACGTGCGATGCTGTTGCTTTGCGCAGGCACCTTGTCGTTGGCTCGCGGATGCTGTGTACATAGTGTGGAGGAGGCTCACATTGACTCTGAAACTTGCGCGTCAAATGGTCTGATGTGATGCCGAATTCTGCAGGAAGAAATGGACTCGGACCACCCAGTTTGCTGCCCGGGCTTCCTTGTGCTCGTATTGCATGGGCCGTGTCGGACATGCGCACTGTCAGGATGCCATTGCCGTGGGAAAGCCGCTGCTGTGAGCGGGCAAAAGACCCCACGGGCCTCGCTGCAGACTGCCGTAGGCATTGTTCGAGGCTCACCAGTCTGTTCGTCCGCAGGAGCTCGTGCAGGATTGGGGTGCATGAAGGGGCCGGAGAATCCTCCTGGAGTTTGCGTTGCACCTCGCAGTGGCCATCTGCGATCTTTGTGTGCTGCCCCTTATCAAGCGCTCGGGTGTTGTCGAAAGAAGAACCACAAATCATGGTCAGAGAGATGGCATTGCCAAAAGCGGTTTGCATTCATGTTTACACCGAAGCTTATGTTGGCAGCTGCTGACAGCTTCACTGATGTGCAATCACGATGGGTTGAACGACTCGATCCTTCATGCTAATAGAGTGCGGGTCTCAGAATGCGCCAGAGGAATGAATTGCTGCAGAAGAGGAAGCCGGCTGGTTGATGCGATGTATGTCGGAGGTCTTGTGTTGGTAGTTGAGCTCTCTCGCTGTCTCTTTCTCCCTCTCACTCTCTTTCTCTCTCTCTCTCTCTGTGTCTCTCATCGTGGCAGTGCTTGCGATAAGGCTGCCTGCATATCTGTTGTTGCTGTCAAAAATGAATCAAGAAGCAGTTCTTGCCGCCAAAACAAGTTCGAGTTCCAGCTTTCATATTCGGGATACTGCAGGGTCAGTGCGGTAAGTACGGGCTGAGGAGGTGAGATTCACTTCCAGGCCGTAGGCGGCCAGAAATCCAGTTTTTCTGCGTTCAAGCCCGGCCTTCGCACCCGACCGATGCTCCTTGGTTTTAAAGGCAAGCGCAAAGAGTTCTCTGGCACGCATTCCCGTCACATCGATAGGCTCGGGTGCAGGCTGAGCTTGTGCTTCTCCATTATTTGAGGAGTTGGCTTTCTCTGCACATTTGCAGCATGGGACCTCATGGAATCGCACCAACCACCACCCTACAAAACACCCCTACCAACGACAGCAAGCTCAGCTGCACATTAGAGTCATTAGAGCAGCCGAGCGGTTACCGCATTTCGATGCCCCTTCCAAGGCCGGGCGGCGGCCTGGAAGGGCCTCCGGGAGCCGATGCAAAGCTCGGAAATGCGCACCTGGGCCTGCTGATACTTTTGTCACCTGGATGCCAAAAAAACCCGAGGGAGGTCTCTGGCCCCAAAAAGAAACGGAGAGAGCATTTTTTAGGCACAAGGCCAAAGGCGCCACCGCTTTTTCTTGTTGTCTTTCTTGGGGACTTTCTGAGGTGGCCTCGCCCATCAGGCGGGCTCAGAGCTGGTTGCCCGGTTTTACTCGCCTTGTGGCTGCTTTGCCGCTTTGGCTTGCAGGTGACTTCCTCGAACCGCGCAAAGCTCGGGAGCTCTCGTGCTCACACGATGATAAGGAAGTGATGGGGCCGTCATGCTCCCCCACGGCCCCTACGGCTCAAAGTACACTTTGCCTTTGTTATGACTGAAGCGCTTGCCGTTTGCCACATGTCAGCCATGGCGTTTGCAACTTTTTTGGTTTTCTCGAGGCTTGCTGTAGCCTTCGGAGAAGATGTCGCAGCAGCCATGTCGGAAGACAACTGCGGCGGGGAGTGCAGTCTGGGGCTGCACCAGCTGCGAGGCATGAAGGTGAGCAGCTTTGAGGCGCTGGGGGTCTCTGGCCCTGACGCTGACGGTGAGGATGATGGCGACCTTTCTGAAACGCTGGAGCTTGGGCTCTTCCGCGGCAGCTGCCGAAACCCTGCCGACATGACGGTCTGGAGGGGTGGAGGAAAAGAGACCTTTAATGCCGCCCTCAATCACTGTGGCCGCTCCTGTAAGTTCGTGGGGCCTTGGTATGCCGGTTTCCCATGCACGAAGGATTGCATGCAGAAACGCGGCTACAGCAGCCACTGTGCTTCTTGCATGGCCGAGTTGGTAGACTGCAAACGGGACCACTGCCTGAACCCTTGCTTCACCGATGACGAAAATCCTTCGTGCATTGATTGTGTAAAATCCAAATGTCGACACAAGATGAGAGTGTGCAGCGGCCTCAATACGGGAAGCCGCTGAAGCTTTGCTTCGAATGGCACAGGCTTGTCGACGATCGCGAGTCATAAAAAAAAAACCTGGCTGGAGGGCCTGCTCTGGTTCAGGCAGCCGAAGCCTTGACCTAAAAGCCTTAAAGGGCGAGAAATCAGGCGGAGCTCAGAAGTTCAGAGCCCGAGTCTGTGACAGCATAAGCGGTAATCAATCAGGCTGATTCTCTGTGGAAGCGGGCTCAAAAGCCAACAGCACCGAGAGCACAGAAATGAAAGGTTGCCAGAAGGTCCACGCATGCTTCACCGCTTCAACTGTGAACGAGGAACACCGGTTGAGCACGCCGGATGCACGCGGCCGAGGTCGCGGTCGGAGGCCCCGCTGCGGCTGCTGGCAGAGTACTCAACGGCAGCTCCGGGCAGGTGGGGGGGGGGGAAGAGCAGAGGAAACAGAGAGAGTGAGAGCGAAGCTGCAGCCCCCGTCCGTCACTTCCTTAGCCCGCGTGATGTGGGCAGCCGGCTGTAGTAACGCATTTTTTTGGTCAAGGCTTAGTGGAACAGAACACTCAGCCAGGTTCAGGCTCGTGTGGGGTAAGTCCATAAAGTCGAGGCGGGGATCAGTGAGAAATTGAGGTGGGGTTAACGGTGCAACGACTTGGTTACATGCCGAGAGAACGTGGAGTCAGACGAACAGGGCCTCCAGCAAGCAATAAGCAGCAAGAGCAACAAGGCCACAGTAGCTCAGTCGCTGCTGCTGTCTTGACACTTCCGAAAGGCCGAGTTATCCTTGTCGAAGTCGGAGATCATTCAAAACGATCACTCAATTCAATAGCGTGTCTAAGCCACTAACGCCAAAGCATCCACAAGTGCGAGTAGAAGGCTCCAACACAAGCTTGACCTCTCCTGGCTGAGAGCAGAAGACCTGTGTAGGATAGAATGAAAGGACCCGTGCATTCCAACACTACTCGCGTTCGTTGAGACCACGAAATTTTCCTTTGCAGCTGGCACCCGCTGGTACTGGATGAAGATCGCCGATGCTTCTCCCTCCACTGGCCGCAGGCCACTGGTTCTGCTTTCTTGCATGTTCTATGAAAGCAGCCGATCTGATCTGCACAGTGAGCTGAGCTCTTGGCCGCTAGGTCCACTCAACTCCTTGAGCCGCCATGCTCCCTTCTCCTGAAGGCCATCTCCGCAGAGAAGTCGCAGGACTTCTTCCTCAAGCTGCTATCTGTTGCGTTTGTGCCCCAGACTTCAGTGTTCTCGCCTTGTGGGTTCGGATGGGTTTGCATGGGTTTGGGACTCCGAGATCACGAGTGCTTGATTCCGGCTTAGGATCAGTGCCTTGGATGTCGTTTTGATTTTTGTCTGGTGTGACCCTGGTGTCACTTCCATGGGTCGGAGCTTTCGTTTCTCTCGTAGGTCGCCAGGTCTTACACTTAGACTTCGACCGGCAAGCGGATGAGTGTTGCGTGTCTGCAAGGATTGGTTCGATCCGTTCGACGATGCCACCAGGTAGATCCGGTTTGTTTTTTCCGCCTCTCACACCTAACTCGCCCGGACTAGTTATGCTCTGATTCTTTGCACCAAAGCATTTCAACATGAAAGACAGAGAGATGCGAGCAAGTTGGAACAGATTCTGCGTGGAAGATGATTGTTTAAGGTGTCGTACTGTGCTGCCTAGGCCTCTGTCCTGGCTGAGTCGATGCAAACCAGATGCAGCAAAACGATGTTGTGCTACAGTTCGTTGTGGCATCAATCGCCTTGCTCACGGACGATTGAGGAATATGCTGAAAGCGACTGATCGCTTAGGCCTTGGGTGGAGCTCCTCAACACGAAGGCAGGGAGGCCCTGAGGATCCTTCAAGTGGAACAAGAGGAAACTGCTCCAACAGAACGATGCGCTCTGCTGCCTGTACTGCCTCGCCTGCCCTGCCTCAGGGGACGAGCGTGACGCGAAGTACCTGCTGGCGCGCAGCCGGAATTTGTCAAGCATCATTCTGCAAAGTACAAACCGATGATGTAGGCCATGTGCTTGGATTTTGTCAGCTGCACCGTCCACCTCGTAGCCAGTGCCGGAAATTCCACCTCGTAGCCAGTGCCGGAAATGTCACAAGCATGGTCAGGTTCTCCTCTGGCGGATGTACCTGTGACTATGCCTATGGTCGGGAGACGCGGGCCGCCTTCTCAGCCTAAGGGCGAGGCAACATAGCACCGTTTCACAAAGCTGCTGGAAGAGTCGGGCGGAGCGCGGGCATGATCGTTTGGCATTGTTGGTTCGTGTCTCGGAAAACCGCAACCGCTTCTGCAGCATCAGTGCCATACCAAGTGTGGCTGCGGGCAGCTGTTGAGCTATTGCTCACCTCGCTCCTCGGCAGAAAGCCAGAGTACCGTGCACTCTTTGGGTTCATCGTTACCCCAAACCTCGTTCAGCCCCTTCGTCTTGCATAACGGTGGGTCTGAAGGCTAAACCGTACTTAACCCGGCAGAAAATCCCCAAGCCAAACTAAAGCCCATTCCGTACTCCTTACCCATAAGCGATTATTATTACAATTACAATTGCTATTGCTTTATTAGTATTATTGTTATTACCACTACTACTACTACTGCTGCTGCTACTACAACAACAACAACTACTGCTACCACTGCTACCACTGCTGCTGCTACTATTGCTACTACTACCACTACTACCACCACCATTACCACTACTACCACGACCACTACTTCTTCTGCTACTGCTGCTGGTACGACGACTACGACTACTACTACTACTACTACTGCTACTACTCTATGACGACGGAGTCGTAGAAGTAGTTAGTAGTATGAAAAGTAGGAGTAGCAGCAGGAATCGCGCAGGGCGGCAGCAGTAGCTGCAGTAGCAGCAGCGGCAGCAGTCAGTAGCGGCAGTAGCAGTAGCAGTCGCAGTGGTAGTAGTAGTAGTAGTAGTAGTAGCAGTAGTAGTAGTAGCAGCAGCAACAGCAGTAGAAACAGCAGTCGCAGAAGTAGTAGTAGTCGGCGTCGTAGGCTCGGGCCAGTGCTAGTGCTGGGAGCGCAAGCCAATGCCCCCGTGGTTGAAACATAGCTTCTACCGTTCTTGCTGGCATAACTATGCTAGCGGCATAGTAGAGATGACGGAGATGACGATGGGTGACGGCGATACCGACGACGGCGATGATGAGCGAGTTGGAGTTTACGATCACTGGCTCTTTCCAGTTTTGGTATGATGATGAGGAGGAGGAGGCGAGGAGTTTCGGGTACTCATGATCCAAGTCTACCTGATCATGACAGCGAAGCGCACAGTTGCAGGCCTCCGCATAGCACCAGCCTCAGCAGCGAAGCTGAAATCAAAGCTGCGTGTCTGGTGCAGGATAGAGCACACATGCTGAGCAGGAACACTCAAGGAATTAGCAGGAACGCGCCATCTCATCAACATCAAATGCATGCTTGTGGCACTGGAGTTTTTCGGAACGACTTGACTGCACGGTTGAACTGCCAGTCGTGTTGTACAAATAGCATCATCGATAGATGCAGCCACATCAGCCGCAGAAAAGCCCGATCATCATCATAACCGTGAAACGGGGCATCATGCTCCGGGAATCAACGAGGGGGACTCTGTCCGTCAGTCGAGCTTGAAGACCAACGCTGAACTTACGGATGTCGCATGTTGCACAGGGGAAGGCTGCTCAACAGTACCCGCAGGATTCTGCCAAGGACTAAGAGCGAGCTTGCAAGCAACGCAACAGCGGCGTCTTCCTTTCCAACTCGCGGGGGGCTGCACTGTCCAATGAAGTCGTCCACAAAGGGGCCGCTTGGTTACGTGGTTGCCAAACCGAGAATGTTTCATGTCCGGTCGGCGCAAATTGAAAAGAACACCGCCAGCTTCCTTCCACACTTTCCACATCATCTGACCCTCCGAGCCAAGCAGCAGAAGGTCTGGTGTGTTGCACCGGCACTGGCCTGAGACTGTAAACTATGAAAGTCATGTCAGCAGGGAACCTCAGTACGACTTATCTTGACACCCAAATACTTTGCCACACCGGCTGCAGGTGAAAAATTGAAGCAGCATGGAAACAGCTTCGCCGCAAACATCGTACCAAGGGCCACAAGTCTTTGACAGAGTGCATGCGAGTCTAGGTTCATCTGAAGCAACTACGATGTCAGTACCTCCGTTCGCAGGCCAAGCAGTGCTCAGGAAACTACTGAAACGAAACTACTGCAACAGCGCAGCAGGTCCTACAGGCAAGTCAGCTCACTGCACGGAGAGATTCCCCGCGCTGCTCATGGGAGTGCCGTCTACTAGGTAGCCCACGTCCTGCGAAAAGCAGCCCACGGCTTTGGGTTAAAGTAGCCAGATACTGATGGTAGCGGATGTTGTAGGGTTTATTGCCCCCGTTGTGCCATGCTAGTTGTAGGCTATCCGCGGGCTAGGATGGTACAGGCGCCACTACTGCTACTGCTACTGCCACTGCCACTGCTACTGACACCGCCACTGTCACTGACTCCCACTGCCAGTGCTACTCCGACGACGACGACGACGACGATGACGACGACTACTACTACTACTACTACTACTCTTACTAATTACTACTTACTACTTACTACTGACTACCTACTACTGACTACCTACTACCTACTACCTACTACCTACTACTTACTACCTACTACTACTTACTACCACTTACTACTACTTACTACTTACTACTTACTACTTACTACCTACTACCTACTACCTACTACTTACTACCTACTACTACTTACTACCACTTACTACTACTTACTACTTACTACTTAATTAATACACACGACTTACTACTTACTACTTACTACGTACTACGTACTACGTACTACGTACTACGTACTACTTACTACTTACTACTTCCTACTTGCTACTTGCTACTTGCTACTTGCTACTTGCTACTTGCTACTTGCTACCTACTACCTACTACCTACTACCTACTACCTACTACCTACTACCTACTACCTACTACCTGCTACCTACTACCTACTA